TTATTCAATTTATGTATTTTGACTTGTAAATAAGATTAATACAAAAGAAAGAATACACATTTAAAGAATTTGAGAGTAAAATATACAAAAAAACATAGAAAATTAACTTTAATAAGATAAAAGCTACTTGGGGCAATGGTAGAATGTTCATATAATGATGATTTCACATCAAGTTCTCAAAATGGTTGCCGTTCTGTTCAATACACTTTTCATATCTTGAAGAAATAGACCTACAAATGTCCAGTATCATTTCCTCTGGTATTTGAACACATTCTTCTTCAATTGCTACTCTCATTTCAGCAATTGTTTCAAGTTTCCTGTTGTAAACTTTGTCTTTTAACACCCCCCCATAAAAAAGAAATCCAAGGGTGTCAAATCTGGTGATCTACGTGGGGATTCAACTGTCCCTCTTCTTCCAATCCATCTGATTTGCATATTTTCATCCATTTAAGTTCTCACATCACGGTAAAGTATTATTAACTATTAATATTTAAAGAGTGTATATATTATTTTGGGACACCCTGTGTATATATATATATATATATATATATATATATTACAGCAAAAAAACAAAAATTGCCTCAACATGAGTGTCTGTCTTGGAGCATTGTTTTAAATTTATTTTCAATATCAGTCCTCCTCTGGTAGACACCTTGTTAATGAGAATGGGTTTGTGTTAGCAACTGGTCGAGGTGTAAGGTATCTTATCTGGGGGAGCAGTCTGGGTTTGGAGTTTATTTGTGCTAGAACATTTCATTGTTTGTAGTTTAATATCAGTTCCTATTATGTGGCATTTCTTATATGAGCCCCAAGTGTATTTTTCTGGGATTCACAGTAAATAGTTTTTTTTTACTACAAAAGGTGTACAATATTATTATTAATAATATATATATTTATTTTATATATATATATATATATATATATATATATATATATATATATATATAAATCTCAAATGAAGAGAAAAAGAACAAACAGATTTAGAATCAACAGTTCTCTATCATTTTTTAAAAAAATGCTCAATACAAACGTCGATCATAATATCTTAATTATATTTTTATTAAAAAATATGTTACATTGCAACGCAGAAATTTCTATGGTTAGAGACTTTTTATCTTGTCATCTGGCAATGTTAGGTAACTTTTTGATGAAAATGATTTACATTTGAAAATAAAAAACAATATGTTTTCATCTTAAAGAGTTAAGATGGAGGGGGCATCCAGATTTTAAAATCTTATGGGTGTGTCTCATTTAACTAATCAAAAGAAAAGTTAAAAATATAGGTTAGGTGTTGGGTGGGGGTATGGTATTCATACATGTCTTGGGGATCTGTCATATTATGACTTGATAACATACTTCAGGTTAAGAGTATACATTGAAGTTACAAAGAAATATTCTAACAATAGGTTAATTGTTATCTTTTAAAAATTATTTTTTCATATAATTTAGAACTATCTTAAAGGGGCCTCTGGTATGCTTAAATCATTTTTATATAATTTTGAACTTTATTATTTGGACTATTGTCGTCATCTTTGTCGCCATATTTATTACGGCCGTTGTATGCTCCGGCCTTCTTCAGGTGGTTGGAATGTCAAACTGAACCCTTTATTTCGCTCACTGGGGTTGACTGTTATAGTTCCACATGCCATGTTTAATGGATGTCAGTTGTCAGTTATCTCCTGTTAATTCCCCTCTCCAAGTTCACCACTGCCTTAACTGGGTATTGTCCTGTCACTGGATCTAACCAACGCCTTTATCCACTATGCCATGTGTCCTCAAGTTCAAAGAGTGTGAGTCAGCTACTGCCAGAACCTTGCACATTTATAAGTCTACCATTTGTCCGTATGTGTAATATATTTAAGTCATTTTTTCTGTTTTAATTCTTAAAACATATTTTCCTTTCATTTTCTTTGTTTAGTGCAACATTCATTCGAAACAACGCCAACTCTCGTGAAATTTGGAAGTTTCAACGCTACCAGCTGATCATTGTTTATGAATTACGGCCTCTGTTGCCCCCACCCCTCATCATACTCAGCCACGTCTTCCTCACCTTGAAGTTCATTAAACGCAGATGTCAAGGCAAGAGGGATTATTTTGATAATGGACTCAGTAAGTTTCACCCCCGCCATCACATTTCACTTTTCTTTGTTGCTGTTTTTCTTCTATTTGTATTTATTTATTTTTTTTTTATTTTTTTTTTTTTCTTTTGTTTACTTTTAAAATAGAATTATTACATTCTTGCCTGTTGGTTACTAATATTTATTAAGCTTCTTTGTTTTTGTTGTTTTTTCCTTGTCCTTTCATCACATAAGTGATCATAGCTCTCCACAGATTCCTTTTTCTTCATTATCCGCAGATTGCCAATATTTTTGGGAAAGATAGTGGAGTGGTCTCCTGCTGCCTTTTCCATGGTTTTGAATTCACAGTATTCATTCTCCTACACCACTGCCACCTAAGGCTAGTGTCCACTCTACCCTGCTATTTAACCCATAGCTAGGAGAAGACATGAGATGGATTCATCCTTTTTTTTCAAAGGTTTTTTGTGCCAAAGTAAATGCAACTGACCAGGCCAGAATTTGAACTTGAAAATTTCATTCTCTGCACGAATAACCATTATGCTACCAACAACTTAGCTTTGTATGGCACAAAACTCACAAATATAAAGCACCCAGTGAGGAACAAATTCACTACAGTAGTTATGGTATTCCAGGTTAGCTTACTAATAACTATTCACCTGTGTGGAAGCATTTACTAAACTTAGTCTGGCACAAGACCACAAGAGTGTGTCAGCCAGTGAGGATCAAATTCATTAATGTCATAATGATGTGTAAGACTCCTAGCTATTAATTCCATGACAGAGTGACCTCTAGAAGTTGGTTATTGACTTGAAATGTTTGGTATTGTTGCCTAATGTCTCTATTGACTTCTTTCTAGGTGTCCTGGGTAAGACAATAAACTACATCTAACAGCAAGGCCTCTGATCAGGGGATTTTGAAGAAGATGGAACCACCTCTTAATTGCTGGTGTTCCCAGGTCCACCCTCACTTGGGGTGGTAGCACCTGTTAGGGTCCCAGCTATGAGCAAATAATTAACCCCCAAAACACTATGAAAGTGTAAAAATAGGTTTTAATACCAGCAATAAATTATTTGAGGAAAAATCATTACCAGCAATACATTTTTGAAGGAAAAAAAAATATTACAAGCAATAAAAATCTTGTTGACATTAAATAATCCATTGAGGTTGATATGCCGTAAACCAAACCAAACCTTCTTTCTAGTCTGTAGAAATGGTAATGGTGAGATTGGCTGTTTCTATACAAGAAACTTTTGGCATTCATTGTCCTAACTGTTAGCATTTCTATTGGTTGAAATTTATCAGTTTTTTTTTTCTCTTAAAACAGTTCTTCAGGAAAACAGACTCCTCAGGTTCACTAATTGTTATTTGCTCTTTCTAATATTGATGGGAGTTTCCTTCCTAACCTTTTGTTTTTAGTTGTGTAAAATGTCAACATCTTGATTATATCATTATTTTGCCTTCTAGTTACAAGTGTTATCCAATGAAGGGTTGACTTCTTTAAGACCCAGAGGATTCATTCACTCAAAGCCATTTTTAATCATTGATTTTAGAAAATGGTTGTATACAACTGACAATTTATCCATTTCTGAATCGTTTAGATGTTATGCATGACATTCATACAAGAGTCTCGAACTAACGATGCTATTTAAGAATGTGATCATGTCTTCAGGCTAATATTTGGGTTTTATAGTATCTTGGAGTTTTGATCAAAACTATCCTTAAAAGTATTTAATTTTATTATTTCTACCTTCTGAATGCTGATGATGAATTTATGGTATGTCATGAGGTGATGGCATGGGGGTGGGAAGTTGATTTGATTAGAGTTACTGATGCTCTTGACTATAAGTAATGTTTTTAATTCTTGTTCTTTTCTCAGTAGGAACGGGTATCCAAATATAAAAACTTCTGGTGTGAAATGCTCTTTTATAAATGTTATGTAAAAGTAGGTTGGGTGGGTGGGGTTAGCAGAATGAGGTTGGGAGGGAGAATAAAAATAAATCTGGAAATGATGAGTGCCAAAACAAAAAAAGAAAAGATAATTATGATAGACATTATATTATCCATCTGATTTTTTTTTTTTTTTAAATAATTTTAATTTTTTTTTTTCTTCTTTAAGATAGAAATGTTTCCAATTTTCTTATATTGTTTGGATATTTCAAGTATGATTTTTTTTTAATATTACTTTCGCTTTCTCCCCCCACCTCTCCTCTCAGAATTGTTTCTCTCCAGTGAAGATACAGAGAAGCTACATGACTTTGAGGAAGAGAACGTTGAAGATTATTTCAGAGAGAAAGAGCAAAAGTTCCAATCAAGTACAGATGAGCGAATACGTTTGATATGTGACAGGTAAGTATCATCTTCTATCTCCATTTTTTTTTTCTTTTCTTGTCTCTTATCTCAGCCTCCCTGTCATTCAGTTTCTTAACTTATGTTTTATAAACTCTTTCAGACAACACAAATAAAATATATATATATATATATATATATATATATATATATATATTTAGTTTTCCTTTTCTTTTCTTTTTTTACCCATTTCCTGTCAACCTTTTTAAAACTCTTATTGAAGATTTTCCCTGTTTTTCTTTTGTTTTTTAAATAAGTTTTAGTTTTCCATGTTCAGAACAAAAACATGGTCATGATCATAAAAAAAGTTGCTAAAGGTTTTTTTTTTTAATTCTCTGTTTAATATTTGAATTGGTTGCCAACCCAAAAATAAGATTTCATTTTTTTCTTGGCCAATTTAATTCACTGATATACAAGCTTATAAAAAAAGCCACATAGCAGTGTAATATAAAGAATTGGTGAAACAGAATTTCCTTGTTCAATGTTCATTAATATTTCTTAAGCCACCACAAAATCATTTTATGATATTTTTTTAAAAGTTATCCTAAATTCCTAATGCAAAATATAGTTTGGAAGCAGTTAGGTTCCGAGCTACTAATTTTAACTGAATTCCACCAAAATATCTCAAAATACCACACCTCTCTCTCTCTTTCTCTCACATATATATATATATATATATATATATATATATATATATATAGATTTATATTTATATCTCTATCTATAAGAGGCAGGATGTGTGTGTGTGTGTGTGTGTGTGTGTGTGTGTGTGTGTAAATGCACAGCCACAATTTTTGATGGATTTGCACCAAAATTTACATGCACAAGCTCCAAGTTAGCAAGAAGGCCAAGACTGACTTTGCATTTCCCAACTCCCATTGATAGTGGAAATAATCAATTTTTTCATGCTTCAACGGCAGTTTTCATATAGTTTGTGGCTATTTTCTACTGGCCAGAGTGAGAGCCAACAGCTGACTGACATGAATGTTAATTAGCATGCAAAAAAAAATCGATAGCTGCATTCATCACAAGTGGGAAAAATTTAAATCTGCATGGCACTTTACTACAATTGGCTCATTCACTTGCTTAACTCAATGTTGATTCTGATTCCGCAGAACTGGGTTGGGTGTAAAAAAAGTATTTGTTGTTAACATTCTTTTTTCATTCGGTTTTTCCAGTTACGAGTCCTTTTTTAAAGCTGATCATTTTGTGTTCATTTTGTTTAGTTCTTTTTTCATAACAGATTTAATGTTTAGCATAGAGGTTAGAAAAAATTTGCTGTGTGAGATAGGCAAGAAGTAAGGCATGTAGCAACATCAGCACGGCAAAGGGCACTCCTTTAAAGGCAAGTAAGGACAAAAATATTTTAAGTCAAGATAGCGATTGCTGTATGAGTTGTATGATTTTGAATCAAGCACAGGCAACGCAGGGCTATGCTGCTAGATATATATATATATATATATATATATATATATATAATTATCTATTTAAAAATATGATTCCAACGCGAAATTTTTTTGGAATAACTTATTCCTGAAATTTACGCGTTTTATCTCATAAAACGCGTAAATTTCAAGAATAAGTTATTACAAAAAAAAAAAATTTCGCTTTAAGATGGAACAGAGCTTGGTACTTTATTCAATTCAATTCAAATAATTATATTGAAGTTTTCGGCTCTTGTTTTGAAACATGAGAACTGTTATGTAGCTTTGGAATCATATTTTTAAATAAATAATTATATTTATGCGCTACTTTTGTATCGAGCACTATTTTTTAAAAATAATAACAAAAATACTAAAGAACAAGTTCTTTCCTATTTTCTATATATTTTTACACACATATATATATATATATATATATATATATATATATTTATTTATTTATATATAATATGTCTGTGTGTGTGTGTGTTTATGCACACATACATGCACTTTTATAAATATATGACGGTAGTTGAAAAGTTTTCAGCCTGACTGATTTGTCAAGATCAATATTACAATGTTTGGTCATTAAATCGATTTTAGTTAATCCGGCTAAGAACTTTTCAGCAACCCTACTAAATATATGGCCTCTCGGTGTATCTTCTATAAAAATTGACAAGCTGCTTTTTACTTTGAGTTTATAACTAGTTTGGGACAATTCTTCTTATTCTGTTATTAATTATTCTGTATGCCATGTCTCTTTGGGCCATTGGTGATCATGGCTCTCCACAATTTCCTGTCCTTGGTAAGCCTTTAGTAAATTATGTCTTTTTGCTATCTCTCCTAAACTCTGTTTAACCATTTATACAATCCTGTTAGACAGGTTACATGCTGTTTTCCTTTGTCCCTCTTGCCTTCAAGAAGTCCTGTGAGTGTCAAATTTTCTAAGTCCTCTTTCTTCATTCTAAAAATTTCAAATGTCTCTTCCTGATGTTAAAGCATACTATTCATTTTTGTTTCCATTTTCTCTACAACTCACATGTTCCGTTCATGGTACACCCATCATCCTTCTGTAGAACCATATTTGTTACTTCATGTCTTCTCTTCACCTGTAAAAGAAGAAATTGTCAATCATTCATTGCCATATAGATGGACTTATATTACATAACAGTCCCGTATTCTTTTCTTTGTTTCTAATGAAATTTTCCTGTTTCTTAATACTCTGCTTAGCTTTTCGAAAACATTTTTGCTATCCCAATGTGTCTTAGGATTTCAGTGTCCCACTTTCTGTCCTTTGTGAAAATGCTTCCCAGATATTTAAATTTATGTATTGCTTAATTTTGGTATCTCCAGTTTTTAATTTGCATTTTGGCCTGTTCCTTTTGCTAACAACCATACATTCTATCTTCTTGTAATTGATGCTTAGTCCTTTCTTCTCACTTTCCTTTACTATCTTCTGTGGGAGTTCCTCTAGTTTCTTTTTTATGTCTGCTATCAACACTGTGCCATCTTCATATCTCATGTTAAGATTGTGACTACCAATAATTAATCCTGGTAGGACTTCTCATAATCATCTGACTGTATCGATGGAATTTCTGATGAGAAAACACATCCTTGTCTTAACCTGTTTCTATTTTACTGAATTCATTTTCTAACCATATGCAGGTGGTTTACTCCCAGTATAAGTTATGGATTAATTATTATTATTATTATTATTGATTAGTCTATATTATTATTCTAAAAATCTACCAAGGACATTCTTATTCCAACTACCACTTTTAATTGGATTGGTGCATAATTATCAGGCGTTTTTTTTTTTTTAAATAATATTTATTATGATAGAAGAAACTTAACAATTCAACAATAATATTTTTAAATGATTATTCCAGAGTGTATGATTATCAACACGCATTTTTATAACCTGAAAATAAAATATTTTTATTTTTAAAAAAAAAAAAAAAAAAAAAAAAAAAGATCATTTTTATGAACAAATAACTTGCCTACAAAAACGCCTGATAATTACGCACCAGCCCAATATTAAATATTCAGGAAATTTCTTCCCACTCTTTAATTTTGACTAATGAGTATTCTAGGACAAAGCATTTCATTAGCAAAAATTATTTTTAAAAATTCCAACCATTTGGAACTAAGATGTAGGCAATGAAGAACCTTTTACCCAGTTGCACTTTTGTCTCTCTATCTTTGTATTGACAGTATAGATCATGGGGAAAGTTTAGAGTTCATGCCTTTCACAAGAGCTTTTACTACTCGATAATATTAGTTATAACCAGAATTTCTTTTACTGACATTTTAGTTTCTTGCTAGCCTCGTTAGCACAGGATTTCCCTGTTGCCTTCAAAATACAATGTCTAGATTCAAAGGACCCATTCCCTTAGGCTGCATCTCAAGACAGGTAGGGTCATGATTATTCCCTGATTCTTGTAACCTGCCCAAAAGCAAGACTAAAGAAACTACAACATTTTTTTGTCTCTACCCCTGCATACATAACATGGGTGACTATCACATTAAATCTGTTGAATTTGCTTTCTCTGAAAATGAAATATGTTTTTCCTCGCAACTTTTGAATTTAAAACTTACATTTTTATTTATCTTTTCAGAGTGGAGAATATGACAATGCGTATGGATGATATGTATGTAAAAGAAAATGCAATCAGAATTTCTCATCAGGCCATAGACTTTCGATTGTCCAAATTGGAAGAAGTTGCTACTCAGATGGGTGACTCATTGTCCCTCATTGAAAATGTTCTGGCTAATAACCCAAATGCTGTTTTCTCTGACCCTGAACCCCCAATGGACTACACTAGTGAAGAATCCCTTCACCATACTGATGGAAGCAGCCAGGCTAAATCAGCCACCAGCAGTCAACATCGAGAGCATCCCTTGATTAGCCAGAGTTCAATGTCAAACCCAGCAAAAAGGTCTAGCGTCCAAGATCGTATGCGCAGGTTTACGGAGTACTCCCGCCCGTCGTTATCGAATCGCAGAAGTCCGTCGTTTGGCCTGAAACGATCATGGAGTCTTCGCAGTCGCAGTCCCAAGTTTTCTTGCACCAGTCCACTGCAACTTAAACGGCATTCATTGTTTCAGTTTTATGAAGCATTGCAACGGAGCTCACCTCGACCTGGAACTGAACCTCCTACTGCAGCCTCAGTGGCAGGCGAAGTGGAGGAAGAAGAAATGAGCAAGGAGAACCGGAGTGTTTCTGGTTTACGCAAACTACAGCAACGACGCAATGGTAACTCCAATTTGCATGTCGATATTACAAAACCGGATGACGTCCAGGATGTCTTTAATTCTGCTGAATCTTCGTCGGACACATCAAATTCTTCAACCATATCATCTAATCGTCCTCCCGTCAAATTTTCTATCGAACCCTTGCCAGAGAAGGGTGTCTACAGTACTGCAAGCATTGAATCGGACACACGCACGGCGACATTGGTTCCAGGAAAAACCATGACATTGGACCTTTTGAAACCTAAAGATTCTCAATTCAGCCTTGTGTCTGAGGCTAGTACATCTGGGGTTGTTGGTCACACTCCAGTTTCGCCACTAGATACACCTAACTCTCCCAGCCACAACCTCCATTTTGGTTCGTCTTTATATGTAGCTGACAAGTCTCACTCGGGGAGTCCTGCCAGCCAGATGGCATCTCTTTTCACTTCGTTGAATCCAGAATATACAACCATCACAGACGAAATTGACACGTCGTGTCTGATGGAGAGTCCTAGCCCATCAACAGCTGCTATATATTTTGACCCTGAGGAGAAATACACTTTGAACTCTGAAGAGAAGGCCTTAAAGCAAGCTGAGGAGATTGAACACAGACGCATGGAAAGAGTGATTCGTAACAGACTTCGGCAAATCTCCTTGGATGATTCCGACAGTATCAGTGATATTGCCAAGATGGTTGTTTCAGACATGGACGTGAGTCAGGATAAACATGCCGTTGTGGACACAGATGATGTTGATGATGATGACATTATTGTTATCAATAGGGCTGGCTCAACAAATCAGCCAAGTACTTCCACGGATCCTTCATCATCCACCGAGAGATCCATGCGGAATATTGAAATCAAAGTGATTCGAGCCTCCATTGACAAGGGGACAAGTCATGAAAGCGATCCCCAATGTTGATTCTTTCACTGTTTTAGGTGATGGCTGTCATTAACGGGCTTTTTTTTTTCTTTTCTTTTTTTTTTTTTTTTTTTTTTTTTATTGAATCATTTTTCGTTGTCTTTTTTTTTAAAGACAAAACAAATAAAAGAATGATATTGTCATTAAGTTTGTAATCTGGATAAAAAAACTAACAAACAAATAAAAACCTCACTGTGAGAAAATTTTTTTTGTCTTTTGGTAAATTTTAGAAGCTCAGGTAATGTTTCTGTCTTCATTTTGTTGGCAAGTTATTCAAGGTGTTTGTGCATGTGTGCATGTATGTGCACTCTTATAAAATGTCCTATTTTAAATAATGGTATATATTTTTAGTGTTGCATATAATGCAGTAACATGGGATAGCCTAATGTATATATACTATCATAAGTAATACTGTATACCATATGACATACAATATTATATATATATATATAGATATATATATCATAACACATTAGATATTTGTTTTTATTCAAAGATAAAAAATTTGTATTAATTTTTTTTTTCCTTACTGGCAATCCACACATGAGTTCTATCTTTTTAATTTTTTTATTAGACGAATTATTTTTAGATTTTTGTCTAGTATTTTCTTTCCGTTATTTTTTTTTTTTTTTTATCAGAGCTCTATTCTGGCCGTCAGTCCACGGCAATGAGTAAATAGTGTTTGTCTGAACCAAAGGATGAACTCTCCATGATAGATTTGATCTCCTGCCAAATCTGTGAGTTCTTGTAGCTCATTTGGTGAAAGCAGTTGGTGTGTTTAGTCAGGCTTTCCTGAGACAAAAGAGATACAAGTTCAAGTCTTGCCAGGAGCTCATCATCTTTCCAATCCACACTGTCGACTCACTGTTGTAGAGTGACAACCCAGGGAAAGTTGCAGAAGCAATTAAGATGAAATAAAATACTAGTCAAAATTGATCGTAAAGCATGCATGTTTATTTTAAAATTCTAAACAAGAAAACAAATTCCATGTTCAATGTTTTATAAATTATAAATCATTGTTCTTGAACATGATATAAGTCCACGGTAAAGAGGCACCTTGTCCTAAATATAAGACAAAAAGAGTAATTTTTTTTCCAACATGTGCTTGTCTTATTTGTAAAGTTACCAAAAAAGTATCTTTATGAAAACCAGTATTAACTGTCTCACACATGGTATAATGATAGAAAACATCATTCCTTTGATCTTTTATTCATCACTTGTTCCAAAATATGCAAAATATTTGAAAAGTAACAAATCATAATAATTTTCTTTTCACTATAATGCCTGCAAGTTTTATAAATAAATTTGCAAGTTTATAAGTATAGTGTTGAAGTATTTTGGAGCATAAGTTTAGGATCCCCTCTGTATAGAGAGAAAGAAATTATATGTGAGTGTATGCATGTTTATCTGTTATGACTCTTGCCTGGTTAACAAGTTACTATGAAAAATATAAAATTGAAGCAATGTTTTCAAGTCATTTTTATTCCATATTCAATGTGATAAACTTTTTTTCTTGTTGTACATAGACTAGAAGCTCAGGTAACAATGTCTCCAAAGGTTGTTGATTTATCAGAAAGCTCCTACACTCCTGTTTTGTTGACACATTTTACAAAAGGTTTTAAAAAGCTTGAATATTCTCCTAAAGTAACTTGAATTCTTGGAAGTCTTCTGATATTTAATCAATAAAATTTCATGATTATTTTTCTTTTGTCTCTTGTTGTAGCTCTTCAAAGAATATTATTACGGCTAAACGATGTTATGAAAAACATGTTAGAGAATTTTTCATCCTTTCTCTGACGACATAAGTTTTTAAATCTGTTTTAATTCAATCATTTTTTCAAATCTGTCTCTCAATTTAAAGTCAATGAAAAGAAGGTAAAAATAAATGCACATTGTCACACACACTATATCCTCCTGGAAATTCCATATGGATTACCATATTGTATCATATATATATATATATATATATATATATATATATATATATATATATATATATATATATTTGATAATAGAGAAAGATATCAGAAAATTCAGATTTTTACTATCTTTTCTCATCAAGCTTTTATTTGGGCTAAAGGCCTAATAATATACAATAAATATTATTTTTATTATTTTTTGTCTCTCTAATTTCTTTTGTTGACCTTGTATATCTCCATACATACACACATATCTGTGGCAAAGAGTGATTTGGATCCAGTGCATGCTGTTGCAAATATTTTGTCACTTAATATTCGTCTGTCAACAAGCTACTTGCTACTTCAATGGCTGCATAAGTAAATGAGAACCCCCACTGATAACAAAGTTGTTTTTTATTACTGTTTAGCAAAAAAAAAGTAAGCAATTTTGGTTTAAACTTGTTCACAATTAATCAAATTAACAGTTTGTGTTTTAACGAGATGTAGACATTTTATTTTAATTTTTAAAAAAATGTTTAAATAAGATTTTTGATGTTTCAATAAATTTTGGCATAAAAAAAATTACGTCAAAATTACAAATTTTCACTCTTCCTGTCATTGGTCAACACCATTTTCTGACACTTGTCATCAAGCAATAAAAAAACTTATTTAGACATTTTTCAAAAATTAAAATAAAAATGTCTACATTTTCTTTTTTTCTTAAAAAGCAGTGTCAAACAACTTTTTTTGTGAAGGAGGGGGGTTTCATTTTCTTACAGAGCCATTGAAGCAACTTGTAGAGTTGTTGACAGACAAACAGTAAGTGATGAAATATTACGATAGGCCATATATGACAAAATATTCATGACTACATGGCCTTGACCCAGGTCACCCATCACCACTGAGATATATATATATATATATATATAATCACACACATTGAAGAAAACAAGCAATTTGCCTATTTTTTAATAAGTTCTTGTTTGATATTCAGTTTTCATATTTTGGTGTTGAAGGTTTTAATGGAATATCTGTACTTCATGTTAATTCTTGTGAAAGTTGTAATTTTTTTGGCTGGCTTAAAATTCTTATCAAGAAAGAAAGAAAGAAATTAAATGAAATCCAAATTCTGGAATCCATACTGTTATGGTCATGTCATATAATAGTCTCAGAATTGAAAAAATATTGTTTGTATGACAACATTCAAAATCATTCCAAAGATGCAACATACTGCACAGACTTGTGATTTTGTCCAATTGCTTTCTTTCTTGATAATGACAAAAAGCTGATTGAATGCCTGGAACTAACACAATCTATAGACAGTTTTGTTATTCCTTCTACAATATGATACAAAATACTAATCTGGTAACAAGATATATTTATTAAAAAATACAATTAATATAACTTGTCTTTTATCTTCAACAATACTATTTTTTTTTATTTTTTAATGACTTACCACACTTAACCTACTAACACATACACATCACAGTTTGGGTCATAGTCATTGTAAACTTCATGAACCTTTCATTAGCTGCATAGTATGTGCTTTGCCAGGGCTACATATGGTTTTGAAAATCATAGTTGTATTTCTCCTAGACTGGTTGCCACCCAAGTCTATAGGACCCACTCTGCCCTTCTATTTAGCCATAGCTGGGGGGATAAGAGGTGGATTCATACCTTTCCCGAGAAAATTTGCACATAATTGAATGTGATGAACTTGGCTGAAATTCGAACTTGGATCTCCACTTCCTTAATTCAAGCCTCTATCCATTACTCGGTGTGTATGTATGTGTGTGTGTGTGTGTGTATATATATATATATATATATATATATATATATATATATATATATATATATAAAATATAGCTTTTAAGTTAAACTAAGTGCTCAATATCAGGGATAGTGTATGTAAATAGAAGAGTGGAAACTGTAGTCAACGCTATGTGGCGACACATTGTTTCATGCTTAAACACAATCTGTTGAATGTGTAGACGTCCGTGACCACACAAACACATATTTTATATATATATATATATATATATATATATAAAATGAGAAAGAACAGTAAGATTTATAATCCAGTGTTCTTATAATTATTTTTATTTTTTAAAAGCAATGCTCAATAACATTCTATAGAGCATAAACATTATAAATTTACTAATTTAAAAATATGCTCCCATCGCTACACAGGAATTACTATGCTTCAAAAACCGAAACTAAAACTTTAAATTTAATTATAGAATTAAATTAAAATCCTTAGTACTGTTTCATTTTCAACCGATTTTTTTCTAAAAATCACTTGAAAATGTTTTTAAATTAATTCTATAATTAAATTTAAAGTGTTAGTTTCTGTTTTTGAAACATGGTAATTCCTGTGTAGTGATGGGAGCATATTTTTAAATTAGTAAATTTATATTTGCACACTGAATCCATGACTTTTGTTAGCCTAATTTCAAGTTTTGTATTTATCTCTTTATCATTACTGATTACTCTTGAACAATGTTGTCATTGTTATTTTTTTTTTAACTTCTTTTCATTAATAATATCAATTATTGCAAAGGACACAGTTCTTTATTGTGTATATTATTTTTTGTTTGTTTCATATAATAAATGCTTTTTTTTACTGTATCAAAAAATACAGTTTTACTTTTGGTAAAATTTGTGCAAAACAAAAGTAAATTCTAATTTGAACAGATTTCAAAGCATTCACTGGCAGATGAATGGTTCTTCATACTAGCAGACTCATGTTTTTATCTCAACACCCCACCTCCACCCCTTCAATGACTTCTCCAGGTTTCGGTTTCACTTGACCCCTCGCTGCAGTAATTCCATTTCCTCTTTTGCTAACTTGTTTTCCATATTAGAAACAGCTTCTCTATGGACATCCATTCTATTAAACCATTTCCCTATTAATGAGTTCAATGCTCACAGGAGGCCTGTACATTTGTGACCTTGTGTCAAACTCAGCCATGCTTAGTACATACCAAAACAAATTCTCTGACCAACAGAAACTTTGATCTCTCCCTTACCCCATTTTTTTCTTGATCATGCCTTTTTTTTTTTTTTACCTTCGATATTTTGAAAGTGTGTTACTTTTATTTA